CCAGTGGCACAGCGGAATGTCTTCGGACTTACAACGCTAGAATCCGCGTTTCGATACCAGTGGTGGGCAGAGCACAGATAGCCCATTGTGTAGCTTTGTGCATAATTACAAACAAACCAAATTTATGAATTTGTCAAGGAGTCTGCTATAAACAATGCTATTTTAGATGGGAGCAAGTGATCATTGTTCTATTAGGTTCGATATTTTGTTGTATATAAAGATTACGAATAATATTTTGGTTACAAATTTCAAAACAGCAAATTTTGAAGGGGTGCGACAAGAATTATCTGTTGTGAATTAGACATCTGAATTATTTGGAGACACTGATTCAAATGTGGAAAGACATTTAAACATATTTCTTTAAATATTCAAGATTTACGTATACCTTATAGATAGAAAATGGTGGCTGCAAGTAAAATACCAGGTTGGTTCACAAAAAGTATAAGGGCTAAATTTAAAGAAAATCATCACAAATTTAAGAAATCTAAATTGACTGGTATGAAGGGAGATTTAGAAGATTATAAAAGATCAAGGAAGTTAGGGCACCAAATAGGATGTATGAAAAAAGGTTGGCTGAAAATGTAAATATTAACAGTTAGGACTTCTTTAAATACATTAAGGGTAAACAAAATATTAGGATGAGAGTAGGGTCTCTGAGGGATGATAAAGGAAGGTTCATATCTGATGGTTATAAGATGGCTTGGTTATTAACTTTTAAGCAATATTCCTCATCTAGAACAGTTAATAGATGGAAAAAAAGATCGAACAATGTGACTACATTAAACCTAAGTTTGTTAGGACAAAAATTGGGAAGTTTAAAGAACAAGTCTCCTGGGTCAGATAATATTCCCCCAATGATTGGATATGTTAGCCACTTGCTGCTATTTTTGTTTTGTTTTTTGTAAGTACTTGAATAGTTGGCAGGTGCCAGAATATTGAAAGTTGACTCTGCTTTTTAAGGGAGGTGATAAAAATTATCCCGGTAATTATAGGCCTATTAGTCTTACATAAATTGTGAGAAAAGTTTTGAAAAGTATGATAAAAGATGCTTTACAAAGTCATTTAATAAAGTTTAGAATTTTTTGGATACTCAATATCGTTTCATTAAGGGGAAATCTTTCGTTATAAAGTTTTCGATATTCTTTTAAAAGGTTACTGCTTATATAGGTCAGGATATGGGTGTAGAATTCGTGTATCTGGATTTTCAGAAAGCATATGACAAGGTGCCACATAAAAGGCTTGTAAAACAAATTATCTCTAGAGATATGGGGGATAAGTTAGCTTATTGGATAGAAAAGAAGCTAGATGGAAGAAAGCAGAGGGTTGTTAGAAATGGATTAATGTCATAAGTGGATTTCCTCAGGGCTCAGTCTTAGGATCTTTGCTGTTTTTGATTTACATCAACGACAAAGATGAAGGAATTGTTAATAAATTACTTAAATTTGCAGATGATATTAAGGTTTTGGCTGTTAAGAGGAGGAGGATGCTTTACAAAATGATTTAGATCATTTATTGAGTTGCACAAATAAATGACAGATGGGTTTTAATTATAATAAATGTATTTGAATTATAAGTATAATTGCGATTGGAATTACTTTAACAGTGTTATGAAAGAAAGGGATATTAGTATAGTTGTTGATCAGTCTCTTATGCCATCAAGCAGTATGTCGTAGGTGGTAGAGAAAACGGGATTTTAGGTCGTATCTACAGAAATATTGAATATAAGTCTAAAAGGGTTATAATTTCATTGTATAGACAATATTTGGAGTATTGTTTTTCTATCTTAGGCTTCTTACCTTGGGAAGGACATTAAATTGTTTGAAATGGTACAGGGTGTTGCAAAATAAATCACTTTTTTCCCTGAGAGCATAACAAAGTAAAATAAGATTTTAATTCAATCAAAAAAGTAATTCCAAGTATCAATATCGCTTGAATGGGCCACCATTGTTCTCACGCACGAGTTTTAATCGATTTGCAAAACATTTCAGCAATGCGACAAACATGTCTGTTCTTGTGGCTGTCTCT